GCTGTCCCTCAGCTCTTCAGCTCAAGGCTAGTGCTCTACCACTTGAGCCACAGCGCCACTTCTGGCTTTTTTTCTTTTTGCTTATGGTGCTGAGGAATCGAACCCAGGCCTCAAGCATGCAAGGCAAGCGCTCTACCACTGAGCCACCTTCCCAGCCCTGAATCATCTTTTTCTGACATTTTTTTTTTTTTTACAGAAGATGTTGAGACACCGGTAATAGAAGAACAAATGCAGGGAGAAGAACTGAAATGTGGGGAGATAGAAAAGTCAGGTGAGTGGTTTCTGTTTTTGACATGCAGGTTGAATTATCTTTTTCTGACCCAGGGCCTCAAACATGCAAGGCAAGCACTCTACCACTGAGCCACCTTCCCAGCCCAACATACAATTTTTTTCTTGCCAGTCCTGGGGCTTGATCTCAGGGCCTAGGCACTGTCCCTGAGCCTCTTTTGCTCAAGTCTAACACTCTCACTTGAGCCACAAGACCACTTCCAGCTTTTTTCTGCTTATGGCTTATGTGGTGCTGAGGAATTGAACCCAGGGCTTCATGTATGCAAGGCAAGCACTCTACCACTGAGATACCTTCCCAGTCCCCCACTTTTTTTTTCTGTTGGCCTGGGCTTGAACTCTGGGCCTAGGCACTGCTCAGCTCTTGAGCTCAAGGCTAGCGCCCTACCACTTGAGCCACAGTGCCACTTCTGGCTTTTACCTGCTTATATGGTGCTGAGAAATTAAACCCAGGGCCTTGTGCATACAAGGCAAGCACTCTACCACTGAGCCACCTTCCTAGCCCCTATTTTTTTTTTTTTTTTGTCAGTCATGGGGCTTGAACTCTGGGCCTGAGCGCTGTCCCTCAGCCCTTCAGCTCAAGGTGAACACTCTACCACTTGATCTACAGTGCTACTTCCGGTTTCCTGGTGGTTTATTAGAGATAAGGGCTTCACAGACTTTCCTGCCCAGGCTGGCTTTGAACCAAGATCCTCAAATCTCAGCTTCCTGAGTAGCTAGGATTACAGGCATGAGCCACTGGGGCCCAGCTTCCTTTTTTATTTTATTTTATTTATTTTATTTTTTTTGGGTCCGGTCCTGGGACTTGAACTCTGGGCTTGGGCGCTGTCCCTCAGCTCTTCAGCTCAAGGCTAGTGCTCTACCACTTAAACCACAGCACCACTTCCAGCTTTTTCTGCTTACGGCTTATGTGGTACTGAGGAATTGAACCCAGGGCCTCATGCATGCAAGGCAAGTGCTCTACCACTGAGCCACCTTCCCAGCCCCCATTTGGTTTTTTTTTTTTTTTTGCTTATGTGGTGCTGAGGAATCGAACCCAGGACCTCATGCATGCAAGACAAGCGCTCTACCACTGAGCCACCTTCCCAGCCCCCCCCCATTTGGTTTTTTAACAGAGGATGTTGAGACACCAGTAATAGAAGAACAAATGCAGCGGGAGGAACTGAAATGCAGGGAGATGAAAAAGCCAGGTGAGTGGTTTTCTTGTGACATTCAGGGTGAATCATCTTTTTCTGGCATATAATGTATATATTATTATTTATATATATGTATGTAATTATATGTATATATGTATGTATTTGTATATATGTATTATATATATTACACACACACACACACACACACATTGCCATTCCTGGGACTTGAACTCTGGGCCTGGGTGCTGTCCCTCAGCTCTTCAGCTCAAGGCTAGTGCTCTACCACTTGAGCCACAGGGCCACTTCCGGCTTTTTTCTTATGTGGTACTGAGGAATTGGGCCCAAGGTCTCATGCATGCAAGGGAAATGCTCTGCCACTGAGCTACCTTCCCAGCCCCCATTTGTTTTTTTAACAGAGGATGTTGAGACACCAGTAATAGCAGAACAAATGCAGCGGGAGGAACTGAAATGCAGGGAGATGGAAAAGCCAGGTGAGTGGTTTCTGTCTTATGGTGTGCTGAGCAAATGAATGTTCTTTTTTCTAATATATATAAATATATATCATATTATTTTATTTTACTTTACAGAGGATGTTGAGACACCGGGAATAGAAGAACAAATACAGGGGGAGGAAGTGAAAAATGGTGAGATGGAAAATCCAGGTGAGTGGTTTGTGTCTTGGGGTGTGCAGAGCGAATGGTCTCTTTATTCCTGAGAAGTCTACACATAACCAGCTTTTCCGTTCTCGAATGTCTCCCCAGACAACACGGAAGGGCAGAGTGATGCCAGAGACAGCCTGGCTAGATTCTGGAAGAGTCGATTTTGTCTGGACCACACCTACCTCTCCGGCGTCATAGAGAGAAACCGGAATCTGATCCCATTTCTGGATCCGCAGGTCGTCCTCCGGGGGCGGGCCGTGGTGCTACATGGGCCCCCGGGTGCTGGGAAGACTACCGTGGCCAGGAAGTTGGTTCTGGAGTGGGCAGACGGCAGCCTGGCCCACCTCTTCTCATGGGTCTTCTACCTGAGCTGCAGGGAGCTCGCCCAGATGGCACCTTGCACGCTGGTGGAACTGCTCTCCCATGAATTCCCTGAGCTGGAGAGTGACGTGGTGCAGTTCCTGGAGGAGCCCCAGGAAGCCCTGATCATCATCGATGGCTTGGAGAAGATAAGCATCCCCAGGTTGGACTCCAGGATTGATCTCTGCATGGACTGGCTGGAAGAGAACCCAGTGCCTGTCCTGCTGAGCAGCTTGCTACAGGGGACATTGGTGCCCAATGCTACCTTGCTGATCACCACAACGCCCAGCACCCTGCGGGAGCTCATAACCCTGGTGGGCCAGGTGCAGTTCTGCAGCATCCCAGGCTTCTCAGAGGCGGATACGCAGGAGTTCTTCCTTAGGCACTTCAGAGACCAGGCCCAGGCCCAGAGAGCCCTGGAAGCTGTGCAGAGCAACGAAGCCCTGCTGGCCATGAGCCAGGTGCCCTCCACGTGCAGGCTGCTGTGCACATGTCTGGAGCCAGTGATGGAGAGGGGCGAGGATCCCACCACTGCCTGCCAGACCCCCACTGCCCTGCTCCTCCACTGCTTCCAGGACCAGTTCTGCCACCCCCGCTCCTGCCCCAGTGCCCTGGCCTGTGGGCTGGAGACCCTGTGCCGCCTGGCTGCCCAGGGCCTGTGGGCCCAGACATCTGTGTTCTACCTGGAAGACTTGGAGAAACTTGGGGTGGAAGAGATCAGCCTGCACCCCTTCCTGGACAAGTGCCTCATCCAGAAGGACTTGAACTATCGGTACTGCAGTTACTCCTTCATCTACCCCGTCCTCCAGCAGTTCCTGGCCGCCCTGTTCTATGTCCTCAAGCCCCAGGATGGGGAAGGCCGAGGCCGCCAACCCTGGGATGACAACATTGAAGATGTGCGTAAGCTGTTCTCCAGAGAGGCCTGGCTACGGAACCCCGACCTGGCCCATGCGGGCCACTACCTGTTCGGCCTCCTAAACAGGAAGAGGGCCCAGGAGCTGGAGGCAACCTTTGGCTGCCACATAGACCTGGAGATCCGACGGGAGCTGCTGGGGTGTGGGGCGGAGGAGAGCAGGCCCTTCCTCCTGCGGATGGAGCAGAGCGAAGTCTTTAGCTGGCTCTACGAATCTCAGGATGAGGAGGTGGTGAGGGAGGCACTGGCACCCTTTGAGGAAATGTCTGTGATCCTAAAGAGCCGCCAGGATCTCCTGCACTCGTCTTTCTGCCTCAAGCATTGCCCGGGCCTGCACAAGCTCACAGTGCAGGTGGCCAGGGGGCTGCTCCCAGAGAATGATGAAGCTCAGCTGAGCTTCTACCTAAAGCATGGGAGGTAAGCCCAGTTTAACTCTGCCATCTTTATCTCCGCCCCCACCCCCTTGCCTTCTTCTTCCTCCCATGTCCTGTTCAGTTGGGAGTTTCCTGTGGTCTGACCTTACTACTTGGTCAGTCTCCTCCTGCTACACTCTCGTCCTGGCTCACACTTCAGATGGGAGGTGACCTGCTATGTATGATTGGAATGAGTTTCCAGGCCTGGATAGTCCTCTGCTTATACCTCCAAAGGAGCTGGCATAACAGGCATGTGTGGACAGCATGACGTGCATGTGCATTTGTTGAGATGCTGTCTTCCAAGGCTGGTCTTGAGACTAATCCTCTCCCAAACAGCTGGGATACAAAGCATATACTAGCATGAGCAGCCCTAGGCATTATACCAAACATTGAAACAACCATGTTCTTCCTGTTATTGGTTGTGGGATTTGAACTCAGGCCCTGGGTGCTGTCCCTGAGTCCCTTTGTGCTCAAGGCTAGTGTTCTACCATTGAGCCACAGCGCCACTTTAGCTTTTGAGTGGTTAATTGAAGATCAGTGTCATGGGGACTTTTCTGCCCAAGCTGGCTTTGAGCCTTGATCCTCAGATTTTAGCCTTCTTAGTAGCTAGGATTATAGATGTGAGCTACCGACAATAACCATATTTTCAAGTCAACAGAAGATGATTTTTTTTGGGGGGGGGTCCGGACATGGGGCCTGAACTCTGGGCCTGGGCGCTGTCCCTCAGCTCTTCAGCTCAAGGCTAGCGCTCTACCACTTGAGCCACAGCGCCACTTCTGGCTTTTTTCTTTTTGCTTATGTGGTGCTGAGGAATCGAACCCAGGGCCTCAGGCATGCAAGGCAAGCGCTCTACCACTGAGCCATCTTACCAGCCCCAGAAGATGATTCTTTAAGTTTCTGTTGTTTTTTTTTTTTCCTGGAGCTTGAACTCTGGGCCTGGGCACTGTCCCTGAGCTTCTTTCTCAAGGCTAGCACTCTACCACTTGAACCACAGAGCTATTTGCTGCCTTTTCTTAGTAGTTCATTGGAGATAAAAGAGTTTCACAGACATTCCTGCCCAGGCTGGAGATCTCCAGATCTCAGCCTCTTGATTAGTTAGGATTACAGGTGTGAGCCACTGGTGCCTGGCTTTTTTTTTTTAAGTTATGCTCAAAATGACATGCAAATGAATTGCCAGACCCAAGTCACAACCTTACAGTGCTAGAAATAAAATTCTATCCCAGTTCAAGAATGACTGGAAGCTGGGTGCCTGTGGCTCATGCCTGTTGTCCTAATTGCTCAGGAAGCTGGGATATGAGGATTGTGGTTCAAAGCCAGCTGGGGTAGAAAAATCCCATGAGTTTTTTTTTTCCTCCAATAAATGACTCAAAAAAACTAAAAGTGGTGTTGTGGTTCAAGTGGTAGAGAGCTAGCCTTGAGCACAAAAGGGCTCAGGGACAGGGCCTAGGCCCTGAGTTCAAGCCCTGGGACCAGTAAATAAATAAAAGAATGACTGGGTTGAAGGGTCCTGTTCTGGTTTAGGGGGTGAGTTAGTCTCTCTGACTTACTGCCCAGTGGCTGACTCAATGGGTCCTGGTTGTAGGTTTCAGTCTGACAGCAGCTGCCTCTCCTTGTGGCTGGATCTCTGCTCTTCGATGTGCTCCAACCCCAACTTGAGCACCTTGTCCATCAACCAGAGCTTTCTGAGCTCCTCCTCAGTGCAGGTGCTCAGCCAACACCTGAGCAGCGAGACCTGCCGTGTCAATAAAGTGCTGTGAGTAGAAAGTTTCTTGGGACCTGAGGAAGTGGGTGCGGGGGCCATGCCTGCCTGCTGAGTGTATAGCTCTAGGATCTGAGTGTCCTCTGGGGGTCCTGGCCAGGTCTTCAGAACAGAAGCAGTGCGAAGGGTAGAGAGCTCTCCTGCTCCATCAGGGGAAGCCCCTGAGTTCAAATACCAGTCGTGAAACCCAATTCCCACCCCTGGGTCCTTTGTTTTGTTGTTGTTGCTCAAGGTGAACACTCTACCACTTGAGCCACTTCCAGCTTTTTTGAGTAGCTTATTGCAGATAAAGAGTGTCTCCGGGGGATTTTTCTGCCCCGGCTGGATTTTGAACCCTGACCCTCAGATCAGATCTCAGCCTCCTGAGCAGCTAGGATGATAGGTGTGAGCCCCTGTCCCGGGCCCCTGACTTCCTATTTTGTTCCCTGGGAACCCCATGAAGACTTGCTCAGGGCTGCTATTTGTGGATAGCTGGGATCTAATCAGTCTGGCAAGTTTCTGGTAGCTATGACAGGGCCTTTGTGCCTGGGTCACCTGCCAACAGAATTGGAACTGAAATCTGGCTTCTAGACTTCCCTGTGGCAGTGGAAGAGGGGATCCTGAAGAAACCAGAGCTGGCCATATACGCTTGCACTCATTGGGTGGACGACACCCCACTGCTGGAATCCACGCTATGTCTGTTTTCTTAGGATCCAATACCTCACCCCTGAGTTCATCTATCCAGTTCTGTGCCTGGGCCTCATCGGCAAGCGGAGCCTCACCCACCTGGCCCTGGAGGGGCGCATCCAGGAGGACCAGGCACGCATGCTGCTGATGCTTGGGGAGATGCTGAAGAACCAGCACTGCGGCCTGCAGTCCCTGAGGTGAGAATCAGTTTAGCCTATGGAGTGGCGAGCCATGGGAGTGTTAATGTTAACTTGCCCCTTTGAAATGAGGCCGTACACGGACCAGGCAGGTGTCTGCGCCACATTTGAGCCGGATCTGATTAATTGGGGCAGTCAGGAGCCCGAGACTGGGGGAGGTAAAGGGTGGCAGTTCAGAGAGGCCCTCCCAGTGCCCTATCTCGAGGCCTCCCAGGTGTGTAACTTGGGTTTTCTGCCCTAGGCTGGGCACCTGCTGCAATGCAACCCCCCAGCAGTGGGCCGACTTCTTCCTGGCCGTCCAAGCCAGCCCCTCCCTGACGGCCCTGGACCTCACAGACAATAAGATCCTGGACCAGGGCTCTATGCTGCTGTGTGAGACCCTGATGCAGCCGCTCTGCTCCATACAGAAGCTGTCGTGAGTCTCTGGGCCACTGAGAGAGCAGAGATGGGGAGGGGGCACCAGGCTCCCAGGAGCCAAGCGTGCTGGGGGCTTCCCTCCCCCAATCCGCTCTCCTCTCATTCCCCTTGCGCTTCTCCGACAGCCTGGAGAACTGTCAGCTCACACAGGCCTGCTGCAAGAAGTTGGCATCCACCCTCATCATCAGCCAGCTGACCCATCTGAGCCTGGCCAACAATGACCTTGGAGATGAGGGGGTGAAAATCCTGTGTGAGGGCCTGAATCACCCCGACTGCCAACTGCAGAGCCTGGTGTGAGTCCCTGTGTGTGTGTGTGTGTGTGTGTGTGTGTGTGTATACGTTTGCATGTGTGTACATCCATGTCTGTCCATCCCCAGACCATCTCAGGAATGTCCCACACCTCCATCCTCAGACAGGAAGTTAAAAAGCCTTTAGGCTGGGCGCTGGTGGGTCTCACGCCTGTCATCCTGGCTACTCAGGAGGCTGAGTTCTGAGGATCACAGTTCAAAGCCAACCTGGGCAAGAAAGTCCATGAAACTCTTATAAACCACCAGAAAACCAGAAGTGGCGCTGTGGCTCAAGTGGCAGCGCGCTTGCCTTGAGCTGAAGAGCTGAGGGACAGTGCACAGGCTATTCAAGTCCCATGACTGACCCCCCCCCTGCAAAAAAAAAAAACTTTAAGAATATCTACAGTTTTTCAATGTGAAGCAGAACCTTTTTGGTATGTGATTTTATTGTAAAGATATTTTACAAAGGGATTAGTTTCCTAAGTCAGTGCATAATGGATGTTTTAGGTTGTCAGGAGCGGTGGACTTTTGGGGTAGACCACAATTTTACTAGGCCAATCAAATTCAAGTTTTTTTGGAGGTCGTAGGTCTTGAACTCTGGGCCTGGGCCTTCTCCCTCAGCTCTTCAGCTCAAGGTGAGCACTCTACCAATTGAGCCACAGTGCCACTTCAGGTTTTCTGGTGGTTCATTGGAGATAAGACTCTTCATGCTCAGGATGGCTTTAAGCTGCAGTCCTCAGATCTCAGCTTCCTGAGCATCCAGGATTACAGGCGTGAGCCACCAGCCCTGGCTAAATTCAAGTCTTAAAAACCAAAATATAATAAAAGATAGGTGAACTTGATTCTCAAACACAAAATCTGAGATCCCCAACCCCACCTCACCCATTATTTTTTCCTTCATCTCTGAACACACAGGAGCTCTGACACATTCAGGATGTCCGGAGTGGGGCTCACGAGGGTAATCCCAGGGCTGCCTAGGACAAAGCTTAACCATGCTTCATCTTGAGAAAACAAAGCTGGATGTGGTGTTATTTGCTGGTAGAGGGAAGAGGCATTGGGCTAGGCAGAAGTCAGACTTGTGTGAAAAAAGAGCAGTGCAAAAAGGGCTGGAAGTGGCTCCAATGAGTTCAAACCCAGCAGCCATGCTGAAGATAAGCCAGCACACGCTGTCCACCTAGGAGCTGCAAGGTGACAGTCATGGATGGCTTCATCCTTTAGCACTTGGGCCGGGCAGACATGGTGTAATTCTGGTTTTTTTTTTGGGTCCGGTCATGGGACCTGAACTCTGGGCTTGAGCACTGTTCCTCAGCTCTTCAGCTCAAGGCTAGCGCTCTACCACTTGAGCCACAGCACCACTTCTGGCTTTTTTCTTTTTGCTTATGTGGTGCTGAGGAATCGAACCCAGGGCCTCGAGCATGCAAGGCAAGCGCTCTACCACTGAGCCACCTTCCCAGCCCCATGGTGTAATTCTGTAGCCCAGGTTCCATGCTGCACCACAGAGGAAGACACGCCTCTCTGGTTGTCCCACAGGTTGCGCCGCTGCAACATCAGGAAAGATGGCTGCCGCCCCCTCTCCAGGCTTCTCCAGACAGGCTGCAGTCTCACCAGCCTGGACCTGAGTATGAATTTCATCGACAGTGGTCTCTGGATGCTCTGTGATGCCTTAAGGAGAGGAAATTCCATGCTGAGAACCCTGGGGTTGGTATTGGGAAACCTGTCCCTCCTAGATTCCTTCCTGTATAGCCATCCTAGCTGTGTCCTTCATCAACCACTGAAGGGGCTGTTGAGTTCTGGGTGCACTGCTTCTCCCAGGCCCCAATGATTGGGAAGCAGAGGCTGACCCTCTATCCAGTACTTGGGGAGTTTGGGGGACAGGGCCAAACCCCAGGGAAGGCAGGGCCCCATCGGTGAGCTCCCCTCCCTGTCTTCTCTCAACCATGTCTCTGCCAAATGTATACATTGACAACATCCTTTGGGACAGGCACTCTGCTGGAAAGAGAATCTAGGTGGTGACATTTCTTGTAAGCTTTGCTGCAGAGACAAAACCACTAGAATATAGGGTGTTTTTTTGTTTTGTTTTTGTCGGTCATGGGGGTTGAACTCTGGGTTTGGGCATTGTCAGTCCACTCTTCAGCTCAAGGCAAGTGCTCTAACACTTAGGCCACAGTGCCACTTCCCACCTCTCACCTACTATATGACCTACATCCTCCTATGGTCTTTATTTTGTGGAAGGGATCAAAGCTAGAGACCTGTACTTAAAAGAAAGAAAGCCACCAGCCACCTATGGCTCACGCCTGTCATCCTAGCTACACAGGAGGTTGAGATCTGAGGATCACAGTTCAAAGCCAGCCCGGGCAAGAAAGTCTGAGACACTTATTTCCAATAAACCACTAGAAAACCAGAAGTGGTGCTATGTCTCAAGTGGTAGAACTCTCACCTAGAGTTGACTGCAAGGACACCACCCAAGCTCAGAGTTCAAGCCCCACGACTGACCAAAAAAAAAGCCATGTAGTCTTTAAATCATCTCTGGGGAAATTATAAAACCTGTGTAAACTGTATTGTTTAGGGAAAAATGACATGAATATGTTTATACATGCTCAGAACTGTTACATTGGTGCCTGCGTGCATGCGCGCGCTGATCCTGGGGCTTGAACTTAGGTCCTGGGCACTGTCCCTCAGCTCTTAAGCTCAAGGCTGGTGCTTTACCTCTTGAGCCACATGCCACTTATTGTTTTCTAGTGGTTTACTGGAGATAAGAGTCTCAGACTTTCCTGCCCAGGCTGGCTTTGAACTGTGATCCTCAGATCTCAGCCTCCTGAGTAGCTAGGATGACAGGTATGAAGCACCAGTATCTGGCTGCTTTTTGTTTTTAAACTTCAGTATCCAGAGGAAACAAACGTGGGGGCCTGGTCTTTGCTAGAAAATTCTTACCACTTGACCCACACTCCCAGCCTCTTTTATTTTTGTTGGTTTTTGGTATTTTGCCCTGGTTATTTTAAGGATGGTGTCTTTTTTTGTCTCGGTGTGCCTAGACCATCTTCCTATTTATGCTTCCTGTTGCAGCTGGAATGATGGTCCCACACCACCACACCCAGCTGTTGGTCATGAATGGGGGTGTCTTATGAACTTCTTGCTGGGTGGGCCTTGAACTTCTGATCTGGGCTTTAGGAATAGCCAGGATTTATAGAGCAGTGGCTGCTCCCTGAGGAGCATGGGTTGTTGCTCTCTTCCCCCACAGGCTCTGGGGCTGTGCCATCAGTCCTCTGTACTGCCAGGAGCTTGCGATGGCCCTCCATGACAACCAGGAGCTGCACATGCTGGACCTGGGCCAGAATAACTTGGGGAAGACTGGAGTCCAGGTGATCTTGGAAGCTTTAAAAACTAGCCGTACTTCTCTGAAGACTCTCAGGTATGGCTTGTTTCTCTCACCGAGCCCATTTCCCTCAAAGAGAACAGTCTTGATACAGATCCATCTTCTGATCTCAGCCTCCTTAGTTGCCTGGCAAGAATTCTTATTTCCTGGGTCAATTTTTTTCCTGGGCTGGGAAGGTGGCTCAGTGGTAGAATGCTTGCCTTGCATGCATGGGGCCCTGGGTTCGATTCCTCAGCACCACATAAACAGAAAAAGCTGGAAGTGGTGCTGTGTGCTTGAGCTGAAGAGCTGAGGGACAGTGCCCAGGCCCAGAGTTCAAGCCCCATGACTGCCCCCTCCCCCCCAAAAAATTTTCTGCTTGCACACTGGTGGCTCACACCTGTCCTAGCTACACAGGAGGCTGAGAGCTGAGGATTGCGGTTCAAAACCAGGTTGCAAAAGACCTTGAGAGTCTTATCTCCCCCAAACCACCAAAAAGCCAGACATGGAGCTGTGCTCCAGGACAGCACCCAGGCCATAGGTTCAAGTCCCAGGACTGGTGCACGTGCATGCACACAGCTTCCTGCAGGCATTTTGGTTCTTTGGGCAGCTGGAAATAAAACCAAGTGCCCAGCAGCCCGGCCCTCTGGCCCTCTAGGTTGAAGATGGATGAGTCGAGCGAGAAGATGCAGAATCTCCTGCAGGAAGTGAAGAAGCACCACCCTGGCTTGGTGATCGAGGAGGTGACCAGCTCCACAGTGCTGTCTTACTGGGATTTCTTTTCTCTGAGCCCCTGAGCTGCTTGCCACTGCTGCTGATGGGAGTCTTAGCTCCTGGGCCTCTCTGTGACGGCCCGAGGCCCACAGGTGCCACTTGTCGCCGGCCAAGGAGCCAGCACCGTGGTCTCCCCACAAGTCACACATCCCCTTCTGTCCCCTTCTGATCACAGTTGTCTCACATGGGTAATAAAAAAGTGAAAGCACTCGGTCTGCAGTTTCATTTATTCAGGTGCTCGAGCAGATCTGGGATCCTCTGTGTACTTGACTTAGATGAGGAAGGAGGAAAAAGTCTCACTGGGAAATTATGATTTAGAAAAATCATCCCGTATGTCTGTCTGTCTGTGAGCTTGATCTCAGGGCCTGGGCCCTGTCCCTGAGCTTTTTCCCAAGGCTGTCTACCACTTTAATCTATAACTCCACTTCCAGTTAATTGGAAATGAGTCTCAGACCTTTACTGGCCAGGCTGGCATTGGACAGCAATCCTCAGCTCTCAGCCTCCTAAGTAGCTGGGGTTACAGTTGTGAGCGCTGGTCATGAGGTTTGAACTCTGGGCCTGTATTGCCCTGGAGCTCTTTTTGCTCAAGGCTACACTGACACCTGGCTTTTTTTTTTTGCCAGCTTTATTTTTTTAAGACTCTTAATCTATATGAACTCATTTATATGAACTGGTTTTAAAACAACTTAAAGGATGTTTTTCCTAGAACTTAACATAGTTAATACATTCTGGCCCCAATGGTCTTTGTTTAGCATAGCAGTCACAGTAGGTAAATGAATGATCATGTCTGCCTTAATAAAACTTTATGAAATGGAGCACCTGGACAGATCTGATCTCTGAGGTATAGTTTTCCAATTTGGGTTTTTTTTTTGCTAGTCCTGAGGCTTGAACTCAGGGCCTGAGCACTGTCCTTGAGTTGCTTTTGCTCAAAGCTAGCACTCTACAACTTGAGCCACAGCACCACTTCCAGATTTTTGTTTATGTAGTACTGAGGAATTAAACCCAGGACTTCCTGCATGCTAGGCAAGCACTCTACCATGAGCCACCTTCCCAGCCCTTGTGGGGTTTTTTTGTTTTGGGTCCACTCATGGGGCCTGAACTCTGGGCCTGGGTGCTGTCCCTCAGCTCTTCAGCTCAAGGCTAGCGCTCTACCACTTGAGCCACAGCGCCACTTCGTGCTGAGGAATCGAACCCAGGGCCTCAGGCATGCAAGGCAAGCGCTCTACCACTGAGCCACCTTCCCAGCCCCAATTTCTTTTTTTTTTTTTTTTGGGTCCAGTCGTGAGGCTTGTACTCTGGTCCTGGGTGCTATCCCTCAGCTCTTCAGCTCAAGGCTAGTACTCTACCTCTTGAGCCACAGCGCCACTTTCGTGTTTTTTTTTTTCTTTTTGCTTATGTGGTGCTGAGGAATCAAACCCAGGGCCTCATGCATGCAAGGTAAGCGCTGTACCACTGAGTCACCTTCCCAGCCCCTCTTTGTGGGGTTTTTTGAGAGAGGGTTTTGAACTTAAGATCCTCATGCCTCCCCCCTCCCTCCTTCCTTCCTCCACCTTTCCAGTGCTGAGATTATAGGCGTTCACTTTTGGGCCCAGCTCAGCAAGTGAGTAAAGTGTTGCATTCATAACTTGTTTTATTCTCACACTGATAAAAAGCATACACTTCAAAGTATAAGCAAATAAAGTGATAATGCATTTTGCTTCTATAAATCAACAAGGTATTTCACATGGATCCTTTGTACAAAAGGTAAATTTTCAAATGAAGCTTTGGTTTAGTAGCGCTGATTGACCATACAAGAAAGTATCTGAAATTTGTTCAAAAAGTCATTGGCAATCAGGCTGGGAAGGTGGCTCAGTGGTAGAGTGCTTGCCTTGCATGCATGAGGCTCTGGGTTCGATTCCTCAGTTCCACATAAGCAAAAAGAAAAAAAGCTGGAAGTGGCGCTGTGGCTCAAGTGGTAGAGCGCTAGCCTTGAGCTGAAGAGCTGAGGGACAGCGCCCAGGCCCAGAGTTCAGGCCCCACAACTGGACCCCCCCCAAAAAAAAAGTCATTGGCAAGCCAGGCATGGGAGTCCCACCCTGTCATCTCAGCTGCTTCAGGAGGCTGCGATCTGAGGATCATGGTTGGAAGCCAACCCAGGGAGGAAAGTCCCTAAGACTCTTATCTCCAGTTAATCACAGAAAAAGCCGGAAGTAGCATGCTGGGCTCTGCTCTCCCAGAAGCTCCTTCAGCTTTGTGAACAGCCACTTTCACAGGAAGTAACTGTGGGCAGCGATGGCCTTCCTGGGGGCCAGGGCATGAGAATGTGTGAGAATGAGGGCCCGAAGCACACTGCCCACATCCCCCTCCCCGCCCCCCGTGACATCACGGGAACTCTGGGCTCCAGGTGTGTGGACCGACAAGGGTTGGGGGAGCTGGAGATCACCCCACAGACCTGCCCCGTTCTGGAACCTGGCTCTTCCTCCTGTCCCTGGGTATCTCCCTGAAGGCAGAAGCGAGCACACATTAGGGATACATGCACACCGAGTCCAGTGCGGCCCAAATTAGACTGCTACATGCTGGAAGGAGCCTGGGTGTCCATTAGCAGATACAGATTCTGTGTTGTGTAGGAACACAATGGAGTACTATGGAGTACTAGCTAGCCATAAAGAATGAAATTATGTCACTTGCTGGAAAACAAATGGGACCAGAGATCATTGTGTTAAACAAACAAACAAACAAAAAGACTAAGCTGGATGCCCGTGGCTCATACCTGTAATCCTAGCTACTCAGGATGTTGAGATTTAAGGATCACAGTTCAAAGCCAGTCTGGGTAAGAAAGTCTGTGAAACTCTTATCTCCAGTGAACCACCAAAAAAGCCGGAAGTGGAGATGTGGCTCAAGTGGTAGAGCACCAGCCATGAGTGGAAAAGCTAAGACACAGTGCCCAAGTCCTGAGTCCAAGCCCCAGAACCAACACACACACACACACACACACACACACACACACACACACACACACACACACGACCAAAGTCATTAAAAGTATGGTTTTTCAGTAGAAAATACAGCACTTCAAATGTTGCAGAGACAGTGAGGATTTATGGACAAGGACACGGAACCCCTTCCAACCCAACTCCGGGCGATGGCTCCCCGTTTCCTGCAGTGCCCCCCTCAGTCTGCCCATCACAGCTCAGGCAGCTCAGGGTCCCGGCTTCTCCTCCCGGTTGGGCACCGCGGCTCCTGCCATCCATCCAGGGCCTCCGTGCTGTCTGCCATCTGCTGCGTCCCCAGCTTACAGCTCCGGCCTGCGCCTTCTTCCTGCTTATCCGGTCCCCAGCCAGCAGCCATGCCAGGGCCACTAGCACCAGGAGTGCCAGGCCAAGGCGAAGGAGGTTCTGAGCTGTGTGATCCCCAGGGGTGAAGTCTGCAGTCAGAGGAGATAGGGTGACGGCCCCCCACCATCCAGCCCAGCCTGGCTCCTTCCCCAGAGCCTGGCACCCAGCCTCCTCTTACCCTGCTGCAGTCCCCACCCTGGGATGGAGTTGAAGGCCTGCCAGGGACCTGCAACAACGCAGAGAGGAAGGAATGGAGAGCCCGGCCTGCAGCTCCGACTCTCCACGCTGTCCACGGTCACCCCACACTCCATGCCCGCCCCAGGGGGTCCATCTTCTGGGGGAGCCCCTCTTTTGATTTGGCCAACCTCATCTCCCTCTCCTCACCCAGAGGCAAAGGTCTGATTGAGCTCTGAACAGTACTTGTGTGTGTGTGTGTGTGTGTGTGTGTGTGTGTGTGTGTGTGTGTGCCAGTTCTAGGACTTGAACTCAGGGCCTAGGTGCCATCTTTGAACTTTTTCACTCAAGGCTGGTGCTCTACCACTTGTGCCTCACTCCTACTTCTGGTTTTTTAGCCAGTTAATGGGAGATAAGAGTCTGATACACTTTGCTGCCTGAGCTGGCTTTGAACCTTGATCCTCAGATCTCAGCCTCCTGAGTGGCTGGGATGGCATGCGTAAGCCACTGGCACTTGGCAAAACACATTTCTAATGTCATTGAGAAGCTTTGATGCCCTCCCTCCTCGCCTCCCCCCTCCATGATTAGAAGTCCAGCTACTCACCAGGAGAGGAGGTGGGTGGGTTTGTGGGGGCAAAGCTGGTGTTTCCAACATCCCCTGGAGAGAGAGAGGAAGGTCAGGATTTCTGTCTCCCTGCCTGCCCTCTCTTCAGTGGCCCACGAGTATCGGAACATGTCTCCAGGAGTGGCAGTCCCTCTGCTGCCACCCAGCACTGCAGGTGGGAGGCAGGGCCTGGGCAGGGCCTCACCTCTGACCTCCAGCCTCACCTGTGACCTCCAGCCTCACAGGGTTGCTGGGGAAAGACCATAAATGGTTGTTGTATGAGCCAAAGCATCGATAGGTCCCCCGGTGGGATCGGGTAGCAGGGCCCATGGGAAACTCGGCCTGGAGATTCCCGAAGCGGAGCTGCTCAGGGCTGGGCCACCCCTCCTTCATCAGGAAGAACGTGTTCGTGGCCATGTCCAGCTGGCAGCGGAAGGTCACAGGCTCCCCCATGGCCACCTCGGGCCCCGGGTGGACGGAGAGGGTGGGCGTGTCGTATAGTCCTGCGAGCAAAGGTGTGTATGCAGCGTCTCCACCAAGCCCCTCCCAGCAACCAAAAAACGGGGAGCATCATCTGCATCTGCGACCCTCCTCTGTTTCCTCAATCTACGCTGGTCTTGAACAAGCCTTCCCCGAACCCTCCTTCCACACAGCCTCTGAGGCCAGCTTCCAGGACAGTGAGTCCCTGCCAGTGGTCCTGCTTTTACCCCTTTTTTTTTTTGGTCGGTCGTGGGGCTTGAACTTGGGGCCTGGGCGCTGTCCCTCAGCTCTTCAGCTCAAGGTGAGTGCTCTACCATTTGAGTCACAGCGCCACTTCCAGTTTTCTGGTGGTTTACTAGAGATAAGAGTCTCACAGACTTTCCTGCCCAGACTGGCTTTGAACCTCAATCCTCAGATCTCAGCCTCCTTCATAGCTAGGATGACAGGTGTGAGCCACCAGTGCCTGGCTGTGGTTCTGCTTTTGATCTGTTACAGTGGAGGCCTGACTGCCTCTTAGAAAGGTAGAAAGCAGAGCCAGACACCCGGGGATGGGAAGGAAGGCTGGGAGCAGGGGTTCATGCCTGTAATCCGGAGCTGCTTCCAGACTGAGATCAGAGAATTGTGATATGAGGCTAGCCTGGATTCTTGAGACTTCAATCTCAACTGATTCCTGGGCACTATGGGGACGCCTGTCAGCTGCTTGGGAGATTGGGAGAATCATGATTCTAAGCCAGCTGGGCAAAGAAGTTCCAGAGACCCCATCTCGATAGAAAAAGCTGGAAGGATACTTAGAAGGATCATGGTACAGGGCAGCCTGGGCAAAAAGCAGGCACTATCTCAAGAAAAAAAAAGAAAACAATAACAAAAACAGAGCAAAAAGATCTAGAGGTATGGCTCAAGCAGTGGTGTCCTTGTGTAGAAAGCACAGAACCCTTAGTTCAAATCCTAGCACTGTTCACCTGGCTAGAATTTTTTTTTTTTTTTTGTCGGTCATGGGGCTTGAACTCTGGGCCTGGGCACTGTCCCTCAGCTCTTCAGCTCAAGGCTAGCGCTCTACCACTTGAGCTACAGCACCACTTCCGGTTTTCTGGTGGTTTATTGGAGATAGGAGTCTCACGGTCTCTCCTGCCCGGGCTGGCTTTGAACCTCGATCCTCAGATCTCAGCTTCCTGAGTAGCTAGGATTACAGGCGTGAGCCACCAGCGCCCGGCACCTGGCTAGAATTATAGATGTGAGCCACTGGCACCTGACTTCATCACAGATTGGTGTGTGTGTGTGGGAGAGAGAGAGAGAGAGAGAGAGAGAGAGAGAGAGAGAGAGAGAAAGAGAGAGAGAGACTCTGACACGGGGCTTGAGCTCAGGGCTTGGGCATAGACCCTGAGCTTTTTCATTCAAGATTGGCATTCTACAGTTTGAGCCACAGCTCCATTTCTGGCTTTTTTGGTGGCTCACTGGGCATAAGAGTCTCACGGACTTTCCCGCCTGGGCTGGCTTTGAACGGTGATCCCCAGATCTCAGCCTCCTGAGTAGCTGGGATGACAGGCGTGAGCCATCGGCACTTGACCATCCCAGTTATCTTTTGAGGATACCTGCTGCAGTTGGGGTTCCAGCCATCTGTCCCCAGGACAGGGATGAGTGACTGTGGTTAACACCGCCCCCCCCAAGCCCTTGTAACTGAGAAGGAAGGACCCCAGAGTCGCATGACAGGACATGATCCCTGCAACAGGACATGGTCCCTGCGCCTGGACGGCTACCTGTCACCACCAGGTCCAGCAGGTCACTGTACTCGGACCACAGCTCTCCGCTCCAGTAGAGGCATCTGTACTGCCCGGCGCTGCCCTGACTCACGACTGAGATGAGGAACCTGGCGTTGCTCTCCGATCTCGGTGACTTGGGTCTCTCCACTGCATGAAGGCCACCTTCAAAGTGCAGCTGGTACTCCACGGCCCCCCGTACTCCCTGGCACCAGATCTCCACCCGGCTCCCCACCGGAACCAGGTGGCTGGGTATGGCCTGGATGGTGGGTTTCGAGAGAGTCTCTGGGAGTGGGAGAGAGCATGGCGGTGGTGACACATCTCATCTCACCCCACTGTCCGCCCTGCTGCTAGCCCGGGGCACTCCCAGGGAGATGGAGCCCCTCCTTCCACCTCCACCCTCCCCTCCCTCCATGTTCTCTCCAGGACACTGGGGCCTAACGCTGACGAGTACCCCTGGGACTCTGGTGGGAAGACTCACGTGTATGCACGCCGATCTGGCTCAGGCACAGCCCTGGAACACAGCCTTGGTGAGCCCCACACCCCACGCCGGCCTACTGCCCTCCCCTCTGTACCCCAGGACTCACCGGCCCAGAGCAGAGCAGGGAGCGTGGACGGCATGGCCCAGGGGCTCCCAGGCCAGTGTGGGGCCTGGCAAACGCTGGGCTCAGCCTGCCCAAGATGCACAGGATATGGGGGAGTGGGGAAATTTCACACTGAATTTTATTTTGACAAGAAAGCTCACAGCTCTCCCTCCCTCCACTTCTGGCCATGGGCTGAAGCATCGCACATGTGACCGCTCTTGGTACACTTGTGGTCTAACCAGATCCTCACTCTTTAGATGGTCATTTATTTCTGGGTCTACCTCTGCATTTCTGCATGCCCCGCCCAGAGAAGTCATGGAGCAGCACACAGAGCAAGAGTCCAAGAACACAGCAACAAAGAAAAGACTTCTAATTTGGAATTTAGTGTGTATTTGTCACGCTTGAGGGTTTCATCGCGATATTTCCGTAGCCTCTTTGAGCAGGTTGACCTCTCCCTCCACCATAGTCTCACTTCTCCCCTCCCTTTGTTCCCTTTTCCAACAGCACTTGGTGGATTTCACTATGTTCTCATGATACGAATGTATGTGTGTGTGTGTGTGTGTGTGTGTGTGTGTGTGTGTGTGTGCGTGCGTGCACATGCACATGTGTCTAACTTCCTCGGATCCTCTTCATCTCTCAGTATCCCCTTTCCTCCTCCCCACTCTGGCTGATCCCTTCATAGTTACCATGTTTCCTGTTTTACACTTTTGTCCCTTCAGCACCACATCACAATCTCCACCACCATCATCACCATTGTACTTCAGATAAGAAAGGAGTGTTTTCTTCAAACTGGTGTCCAGTGGGGTTTATTGTTTTATTTTATTTATTTTTTGGGGGGGGGTTCCGGTTGTGGGGCCTGAACTCTGGGCCTGGGCACTATCCCTCATCTTAGTTTATTGACAATAACTGCTGCTATAGATCTAGTTTGTTTACATTTCAGTTTGCTGTGGCTAGGCTATTTTCAAAATGCCCTGTAATTGTTCTCTGAGTTCCACTGGAGTCTGTCAGTATCTTCCCTTTTCCTTTCTTTTTCTACAGTCCCTGAGCTTTCTTTCTTTGCTTTCCTGCTAAAGGCAAGCACTCTGCCACTTGAGCCACAGCTGCACTTCTGACTTCTCTGGTGATTAGAGATAAGAGTTTCACAGATGTTTCCACCCAGGCTGGCTACGAACCTGGATGCTCAGATCTCAGCCTCCCCAGTGGCTGAGCTCTCAGGTGCGAGCCACCAGTGCCCCACCCAGTACCTTTTGTGTGCATTTGTCTTGGATTTGTGGACCTTTGGGTTGCTTTGACCATGTAGGTAATAGGTCAAGTTCTTCTAGGAATGCATTTGAGGAACCAGTGGCTCAGGTCCATGTTCAGGTGTCCCTTGAAAACACACCAGAAGTGGGAGAGGGGTTGAAGATGGGGAGAAGGTGGACTGTTTGGTTTTGGCTGTCTGCTACACAAGCTGAGGCTGGGAAGCTGTAATTATGTCCAAAGGCTGGCAGTACAGACCCCGGAGCCGGCATCACATGCCCGAGCCACCGGAAGAGCGGAGCCAGGAGACACGGGCATCGCTGCACACGAACACCCAGGGGCTGAGGGTGGAGAAGACGGAGGATGCCAGGTAGGACAAGCTGGGCAGCCAGGGGCTCGGAGTACTCACCTGCATGGAGCACAGCACCAGGACACAAGCCAGGGCATAGAAGAAGAACAGGCTGACCAGGAACAGGACACACACGTGTGTGAAACAACATACCTGACCACTCTGTGCCGTTAGTGATGGGGTTGCCATGACCACACCCATATTGAGATTGACACCAATGGAAGGACTGCACCATTTTGAGATCTGAATAGTACTCCATTCTTACACACACTGTATCTGTTCATCTATAGAATAGAGATGCGGCTTGGCGAGGGATGGTTAAGATGAAGCTCTGCTCAGCAGGTCCAGTACATTCAACAGTATTTAGCACAGAATTCCATATATATCTAGGGCTGTGGGCTGTGCAGGTTCTCGGCACAGGTGTGGAATGCTGGAGATGGGGGATAACCTGTGCCCTTCACCTGGATCAGTGTGCACTGCGTATATGGACAGACATCACCCAGTGTGCCACATAAAATGCACCAAAAGTTTAGATGTCTATAACTGCCCCCCCAAATAATTCCACTTCTTTGAATGAAGGACTTAGTTTGTATCCACAGCGAATTCTTGCAGAGTTACTTTCTGTCATTCCACCATGACAACCTCAGTCACAGAGAGACCTCGTGACTATTCATGGTTCTGTGCTTAAGTCAACATGTAGTATGCATGAGGTCCTGTGCTCAATCCTAGCACTGTGAGAGAAAGAGGAGAGAGAAGAAGAGAGAGGAAGAGAAAAACACAGACAGAGAATATCAAAGGACAGAAGGAAGGAGGGAGAGAGGGAGGGAGGAAAGGAAAGAGTTAGAAAGGTGGGGAAGAGAGACCCAGATAGATCTAAGGAGAGAAAGAGGAAAGAAAGCAGACAGCGTTAGAGTGAGAAGGAGGGAGGACAATAGAGAGATCTAAGAGAGGTCAGAAGCCTTGGCACAGGAAGATGAGGTAGAGTCCCTGTGTCAGAAATGTGGAGAAGAGGAAGGGATTCTCTGTGTCCTTGCCTTGCTGAGACTGAGTCTCTCTGTGGAGCCAAAGCTAGGATGGAACTCACTACCTGACCCAGGCTGAAGCCCAGAGCCCAGCCTTACCACGCTGATTCATGAGCACCCTTCTCTCCTGCAGCCCAGCTGTGTGCTGAGGAAGGAGGGGCACTTACCCAATGGGGCAGCGGCCATCCCGGCCATAGTGCCAGCGGCTGGGCCAGGGCAGGCGTCTCAGGTTCAGATGAAAGTCGGGCACCATGAGGTCATGGGCTGTCTGGGAGTGATTATCATGTCAGCTCTGGGAGTGTGACAGCCCTTGTGTGGGGACCAGAGGTGATCTGAGACAAACATCTCCTAGGGGTGCAAATCATTGCAAGACATTCCCCATGCTTGGCCAGGATTGTCAACTTGCCATGATGCATTTCCCTGAGGAGCTCTGACTGTGCCCAGGTGGTGGTGGTTTGCGACTTGTGCAGGCGGAGCTGAGGAGTTTGGCAGGTCAGGTGGTGCAACACGTGTTTGCTTAGAAGCTTTTGCATTTCTCATGGGTTCACTGGGACTCAGTGTCATCATGCATCGGGGGCCAGCTGTGGCCTCATCTTCGTAAGTCTGCCCAGATAGATGAGACCAGCAGGGACCTAGAGAAACTTTTGCTCGTGGCTTCTATAGGTACTTTTGAAGACTCTGACTCCTGGTGTATGAGACAGACAGGCAGGCAGGCAGGCAGGCAGGCAGGAAGGAAGGAAGGAAGGAAGGAAGGTAGGTAGGAAGGAAGGAAGGAAGGAAAGTAGGGAGGAAGGGAGAGAGAGGAGAGGGAGGGAGGGAAAAAGAAAGAAAGAAAGAAAATAGAAAGAAAGAAGGAAGGAAGGAAAGAGAGAAAAGGATGGAAGGAAGGAAGGAAGGAAAGAAGAAAAACAGGGAGACAATATCAAAAAACTAGCCTGTCTTGAGCCAGCCTGAAGTCATGAGAAAAACAGACAAAACAAAACAAAGCAGAAATAAAAAGCATGATAATAGTGTTTGAAGCTGTAATCCTAGCTGCTCAGGAGGCTGAGATCTGAGGATGGAGACTCAAAGGAGGCTGGCCAGAAAAGTCTGTGAGACTCTTATTTCCCATTAACCATCAAAAAGAGCTGAAGTGGAGATGTGGCTCATATGGTAGAGAGCCAACTTTGAGGTTAATTTAAAAAAAATAGCTCAGGGTCAGAACCTGAGTTGGGGTCCCTGACACTGTCCCTGAGTACTGTCCCTCACACACACACACACACACACACACACACACACATGCACACACATATACACACAAGCAGAGTCATGAAAGCATGGCATTTAATATAAGATAGAAAAACTACTTTTAATACAGTAGTCAAAGCACTTCAAATGTCCCAGAGAAAGTAAGGATTTATGGACAGGGACACAGAACCCTTTCCGCCACCACTCCGGGTGAAGGTCACACATTTCTTGCAATGTCCTCCTCAGTCTGCCCATTACAGCTCAGGCAGCTCAGGGGCCCGGCTTCTCCTCCCGGGTGGGCACCGTGGCTCCTGCCATTCATCCAGGGCCACCGAGCTGTCTGCCATCTCCCACATCCCCAGCCTGCAGCTCCAGCCTGTGCTTCTTCCTGCTCAGCCAGTCCTCAGCCAGCAGCCACACCAGCGCCACCAGCACCAGGAGTGCCAGGCCAAGGCGAAGGAGGTTCTGGGCTGTGTGATCCCCAGTGGGACACTCTGCAATCAGAGGAGATGGGGTGACTGCCCCTTCCCCCCACCATCAAGCCCAGCCTGGATCCTTCTCCAGGGCCTGGCATCCAGTCTAAGATCAACCTCTTGTATTCCCTACCATGGGGTGGCATGCTTCTCTCAGAGGGAGAGAGAGAAAGTGGTGGAGGGGAGGGAGGAAGGGAGAGACAGAAGCATTTACTCACTAGGTCTGGAGTCTGGTTCTGAGGGTAAAGTAAAACTGTTTGAAGTATTTTCTAAAAAAGAACAAGACAGGGATGGGCAGTGAGGAGAGAGAAGGGGTCAAGGGCAGGGAGGCTCCTCTCTTCTACCCTGTGGCAACGTCCTGGAGGTGGGTCAGGTCCCAGCACACACAAAAAGGAAAGGAAGCCGGGCACTGGTGGCTCACGCCTGTCATCCTAGCTACTCAGAGGCTGAGCTCTGAGGACCGTTGTTCAAAGCCAACCTGGGCAGGAAAGTCTGTGAGACTCTTATCTCTAATGCCCATCAGAAAACCAGAAGTGGTGCTGTGGCTTAAGTGGTAGAGCACTCGCCTTGAGCGAAGAGCTGAGGGACAGCACCCAGGCCCAGAGTTCAGGCCCCACAACTGAAAAAAAAAAAAAAAGGGAGGGGGGTGAGGGGGCGGTGTGGAGGAAAGGAAAGGGCTCATGATGGAGGCCTGAGACACAGGGGCATGAGGTTAGAGCACCCACTCTTCACCCGATTTCCCAGATGGGGTGGGCAATCAGCTTCCTGTGGGGCTCTCGCTGCTCACATCCTCCTCTCAGAGCAGCTCACACGCTGGGACATTGACTCTGGTGCCCCAGCTGTCCTAAGCCCTTCTTCTGACAACGGGGCTCCTGCCTGTGCCCCTGGCCTCACACAGGACAGGAGGAAGATGGACTGCCAGCCTGGGCTCAGGAGCTGAGGGGTCGTGGGGTGCTGGCAGTGCTGGGTCCTCTGGGACCCCACTGCCTCCCATTCAAGAGGCTCGGAGGAGCTGGGGGGGGGTGTCAGGGAGGTGAGAGGGTAGTGGGCCTGGGCGGGTGGTGTCCAAGGGCCTCTGCGTCCCCCTCAGTCAGGATGCTGCCCTCCAATCCCTCTTGTGACCCCCACAGGAGGCTGACCTTCCCACCCAGGTCACCATGGGGCTGAGCAGAGCCAAGCCTGGGTTGGCAGTAGTGGAAATGCTCCCCATACCACCGCCACCAGGGCTAGAGAGGGGTCACCCCTGAATGTTGACCGCCATCACCTCCTGATAGATATGAGGCACAGGGTCACCGCAGAGCACAGACCCCTCTCCCAAGGCAGAGCCAGGGCTGGGTTCCCTGCCTGTCCCCTCACCTGTCACCACCACCCTGGAGGGCTCACTGTGGTCTGACCAGCCAGCAGGGCTCAGGTAGAAACAGAAGTAGCGCCCAGCGTTGTCCTTTGTCATGGCCCACATGAAGAAGGCGGTCCTCTTCCCAGGTGTGCCTGGGATTTTTAAGGCCCACCTATATTTGTCTCCTTTGTATAGATGGAACTTCTGGGACTTCCAGGCCCTCTTACACCACAAGGTCACAGCGCTTCCCTGGGCAACCACAGAGCTGGGCTCAGCGCGGAGGACCGGTCTAGGGAGGCTTCCTGAAAGGACATCAGAGACTGCACCCAGAACTTCCCTCTATTTGCCCAGCGACCCAAGCCTCAGTGCCACCTGCTGACCCCGTGCCCTCTGCCCAGGGTGCCCTGTCCCCTGCTGACCCCCATCCCCTCCTCCCAGGAAAGCCCTGTGTCCCCTGCTGATCCCTCCACTTTGCCCAGGGAAGCCTTGTCCCCAGGAAGGAGGACGCACTCACCCCCTTGACCTTGGGCTGCAGAGTCCACACTCAGGCCTGAAATGAGTTGATTCCCATGAGAGGTCCGCTCTTCCCAGAGCCTCCTGAGCCTGAGGCCCTGGGGGGGGGGGTACTGGAACACCCACACTTCCCACCTTAGCTTCCCCTCCCATCTCACCAATATACAGCAGGGCTGCGAGTGCGAGGGCCATGCTGTGCGCACAGCGCCTGTGCTGCCTGCCGGGAAGCCGTGTCAGGCCACAAAGGCTCAGGATGTGGCTTTTGCCTCCTGGTCACAGGTTTGTCACACCCACAGTGACACAGAAAGGGGAAATGCCCATGCCCCGTGGGGTCCACGTCCTCCTTCATGCCCTCCACTCTCAGTCTTGGAAGCGTTTTGGGAGGATGCAGAGCAGCAGGGTCATGGCGACCATGCCTGGAGCTTGGTTGTGGGAAGCAGCGCAGAGGAGTGATGACAGAGACAGGGAAACAGGGAAACGCTGCCCCCACATTGACGTCCCTTACTCACAAGACCTCCCCTCTCCCCAGACCAAACACTAGTCCCTTTTCTTGCCTCCTCCCTGGCCTTGTTTCCTGCAGAATTCTCCTGGTTCTGGCAGACGATCTAATGTTCCTTCCCCCTCCACGGTCCTGGCCGATGGGAGGCAGGAGCCTCTCCTTCCTCTCCATCCAGCTTCTTGCTGGCAGCCTGGTGTCTTCCCCTCGGTCCGGAGAGGGGTAGAAAGGTCACCCCATGTGTGACACACAGAGGCTCAATCGTGGGTCATTTCTGGATCAGGGTAAAATCCAAGCTTGGGACACTCATGGAGAGTAGGAACTCATGGAGATGGGCCTTTGTCTGCTCCAAGCATTGGAAACAGCCCAGAGAATATGTCTGAAGTTTGCTGAGCCTTGACATCATGAGCAGAGAGAGAAAAAACAAAGTTCCCCCATAAGGGGAGAGAGCCATGGCCATGCCAGAGGCTGCAGCTTTGAAGGCCTGGCGCCTGGGAGCATCCTGAGGCCCCGGAAGGCCGGGGCTCCTCCCTGTGGGTGAGGTGTAGTCAGGGGCTGGGGAGGTTGGCAGCTTTGTCCCTGCTCCTCCCCCATTTCCTCTGTGTTGTGCATGGCACTGGGCTTTCTCAGCTCACCACCTTGGCCTCATGGTCAGCCCTAATCTACCATGTGCTAAGACATGCTCTCTCCTGCGTGGCCCCTGTGGGTGTGAGTGTAAGGGGCAGTTGGACTGGCAGATGCCCGCTGGGAGGGGTGCATGCCCAGGGCAGGAGCCACTAAGGATGCAAACTTCCTGATGCCAGTCATTGCATGAGTCTATGAACAAAATATATACATGCAACTGCATATTTTGCAGGCCAAAAACCCTGCAAAGAACAAATTAATTCTGTGATACATTGCTGTTAGAGTATATTAGAGTTTGCCAGAAAACTACACAGACACCCAGATACAAAGAACAAAGAAAGGTGTTGTGTTTGTGTGTGTGTGTGTGTGTGTGTGTTTTAAGGTTTATTGCCAGTAAAGGGGCTGGCAAGACCCCTCCCATAAGAGAGGAGTGAGAAGCAGCGCTGGCTACTGTCTGGGGTGACCTATATAACTTAGGAGGTCTAGGAGGGGCTGGAAAGTGTAGGAGGCAGAAAGCCTGCTGTGGACTTGAAGGCCAGGGGCTTCATCATGGCAGACTAGGATTTATGGCTGTTGCCCAAGTAATAGATAAGTGTCCTGCAGCTGCCAAGATCTGAAGGTCACTCTAAGGGGTTCTAGTTACCTTCTATGGTGGTAGCTGCCCCAAAGAAGTGCCATCCCAAGGTGGAGGACCTTGGAAGCTGATGATTTACTGCCTTACTACATGGGCCTAGTGCTGCCTAGGAAGGGCGCATGCCACGCTGTGGAGCGGGGAAGAGGCGTGCTTAGCTATGGCAAGGGAGCCCATTGGGCTGTTACAGGATCTCATGATCTCAGTACATGAGGAACAAAAAATAGCCAGGCTCCTAAGAAGAAAGAGCATGGATGCTGGTTGTTGGGCTGTGGGTGTTTGGAAGGAAGGAATACCTGCCGTTTTGCACATGCAAATTTCGCACATGTGAAATGTGTGGAGGGGAGATTTCATCTTATATGTGTGTTAAAATAAGGAAAGGAAAAAATGCAGTGTGCACAGGACTCATGTGAAATCACAAAGAAGAAATGGAATTAGATAATTGTTACATTTTGGAGAAATGGAAATCCAGAAAAGACAATATGCACAGGAGATGGGAGGAAGAAAGGAAGCAGACAGCCTACATGGTTTCAGAAAAAAGAGTGTGAGGAAGGAGGTTGGACAATATTTGGGGTTAAAAGAAAAATAACCTTCAGTAGGTTTACAAAAAGTAGAGAAAAGCCAGGCACTGGTGGCTCATGCCTGTAATCCTAGTTACTCAGGAGGTTGAGATCTGAAGACTGTGGATCAAAGCCAATCCATGCAGGAAACTCGAGAGACTCTTTTTATTTTTTTTTGGTCAGTCATGGGGCTTGAACTCTGGGCCTAGGCGCTGTCCCTCAGCTCTTCAGCTCAAGGCGAGCCCTCTACCACTTGAGCTACAGTGCCATTTCCGGTTTTCTGGTGGTTTATTGGAGATAGGAGTCTCACGGTCTCTCTTGCCCAGGCTGGCTTTGAATGGCAATCCTCAGATCTCAGCCTCCTGAGTAGCTAGAATTACAGCCCTGAGAGACTCTTAACTCCAATGAACTAGTAGAAAATAGGAAGTGGCGCTGTGGCTCAAGTGGTAGAGCATTAGCCTTGAGATGAAAAGCTGAGGATCAGGGCCCAGGGCCAGAGTTCAAGCCCCCACAACCAACAACAACAACAAATATGTCAGGTTTTCCTGCCCGCCTGGCTTCAAACCTTGATCCTCACACCTATGCCTCCTGAGTAGCTGAGATGTCCGGCATGAGCCACCGGTGTTTAACTATTTTGTGTTTTAATGATAATGGGCCAGATGCTGTTTCTTTTCTGGTCTTGCTTGTTTGGTCTTACATCTCTTACAACAATCTCTCTCTGTGTCTCTCTGTGTCTCTCTGTTTCTCCTTTTCTCTCCTTATCTCTCCTATCTAGGCCTGGCTCTCTCCTTATTGCTCAGGTGTTTCTTTTTTTTTTTTTAGTCCGATCGTGGGGCCTGAACTCTGGGCCTGGGCACTGTCCCTCAGCCCTTCAGCTCAAGGCTAGCACTCTATCACTTGAGCCACAGTAGCACTTCCGGCTTTCTTTTCTGCTTATGTGGTGCTGAGCAATGGAACCCAGGGCCTCATGCATGAAAGGCAAGCACTGAGCCACCTTCCCAGCCCTGCTCAGGTGTTTCTTTATCATGACAGTAGCTCCGTAAATAATCGTGGGCCTTCGCAGCTGGTGCAGGGATTGGGGAGAGGGTGGGGAAGTCCCCCCCAAGAGGCCACCAAGCATGCAATGAGCAGAGTTCAGGGCCCACCAATGCTGCTTTCCAGGTTGGTTCTTTTGGAAATACACCCAAAAAGGAAATGGTCATGGATCACACATGTGGATTATTTCTTACACAATGTTTATTTCTGGCAGTCTCATGAGCAAGACAGAGCCCATAGCTCTCCAGCTCCCCTTCCCACAGCAAGCGCACACGCCCGGCCCCGGCAGACAAGCCCACAGGTGAGGAACAGAGTCCTGGAGGTGCTGACAACGAAGTCCCCCAAGCCGGCCTCACGCGCCCCAGCCGCAGGCACAGCGGAGCCGGGAGACACGAGCATCGCTGCACAGAAACACCAAGGGGCTGAGGGTGGAGAAGCCGGAGGATGCTATGTAGGAAGAGCTGGCCAGCCTGCAGGAGCACAACGCCAGGATGCAAGCCAGGGCGTAGAAGGAGAGGAAGAGGCTGACCAGGAGCAGGACGCTGAGAGCAGCTTGCCTCTCACAGGAGGCCCGGGGGCTGAGGGGTGGGCGGGGGGGGGGGGGGGGAGGGGCGAGTGCACAACTGGGCAGGTACCGCACTTGCCGCCTGTGTCTGTGCAGCACGAGGAGCACGGAGCCGCTGGCCCAGCCCATGAGGCCCAGGCATATGGCGTAGGTGACAAGAAAACCACCGGTCCCATCAGGAAGGTCTTGCCCCCTTAGACAGGGACGGAACAGAAACTGTACATGGGTCTCTTGCTCAGGTTTCTGTGGTCTCCGGAATCATCTCTCCACATGCCCAAGGCCAGATTCAGCGGGAAGTGCAGGAGCCAGCAGAGGGCGCAGCAGGGCACCACACCCTGGGCCGACCTCAGCCTGCACTGCACACACACACACACACACACACACACACACACACACACACACACACACACACACCGGGCCGGAGTGTCAGGGCCTGGAAGCTGCTACACAGGCAGGTGGTGCTGAGCGTGACCCCTCTGCACACCCTGTGCACACAGAAGACCCCCTTGCACCCAGCCTCACCCAGGAAAGGTCGCACCCCAAACGTGGCCATGGTGTGAGGAACGCCTTTGGAGAGAAGAGCCAGGTTGTTGGCTAAGAAGAGCTGTGAGTCCGATGCACAGGTGCACAGGCAAAAGAGGCAGGAATTTCCCAGGACTCCCCCACCTGTCTGTAGTAGGAAGGTGACCCCCCCCAAATCAGGTTTGAGGAAAGCAAGTCGGTCATCAGAGGTTTTACACACCTTTGAGGATGCTGCAGGCAAAAAGATAAACTTGACTCATGGTTTTTACACGAGGAAAAAACTTTGCCCCTCTGAGGTCCTTTCACAAACCAACATGAATCCTGAGAGCAAGGATTTCAGATTCCACATGTGTGTGCCACAACGTGCCATAACCACTCTGTGCCTTTGGTGATGGGGTTGCCGTGACCACATGCGTATGGAGATTGACACAAATGAAAGGATTGCACCATTTTGGGGGCTGAATAGTACTCCATGCTTACACACACTGTATATCAGTATCTTTTCATCTATAAAAGAGTATGGCTTAGAGAGACATGGTTAATCGTCAGGATGAAGAAACTCTAGGATTCTGCTGCTCAGCAGGTCCAGTACATTTAACAGTATTTAATCACAGAATTCCACATGTCTAGGAGTATGAACTGTGCAGGTTCTTAGCACAGGTGTGGAATTCTGGAGATAGATAGCCTGAGCCCTTCACCTGGATCAGTGCACACCCCTATACAGACAGATGTCACGCGGCGTGCCACATAAAATGCACCAAAAAAAAAAATCTCCCTCCCCCAAATAGAGTTTTACTT